CATGGGGGTGCTGGCAGGGGCCTGGAGGCCCCCGGGGCCAGGGCCTGTTCTCTGCATTTGGCCCCAGCCCTCATCTCCCCCACCCCTGGAGCCTGTCCCAAGCGAGCTGGTCCTTCCTCCTCCCACACAGGTCAGGGGAGCTGGGCACCCCACGCAGGCCTGTGGCTCCATGGGCCATTCTGTACATTCAGCCAAGTGTCACAGCCCTTGGAGCTGTGCTGGCCAGCGCGGTAGCCACATGGGGTCCTTTACATTTAAATGAGCTGGAATTCAATTTAAAATTTAGTTCACTGGCCCTGGCCGGGGGAGGGGAGGGGGGGCTCAGTGGGTTGGTGCTCTGTCCGGTGCACCAAAGGGTTTCGGGTCCAATTCCCGTTCAGGGCACTTACGAGGCTGTGGGTTCGATCCCCGGTTGGGGTGCGTAGGGGAAGCAACCGATCGACGTTTCTCTCTCTCTACCTGGCTTCCTGTCTCTAAAAATTCAATAAAAACATATCCTTGGGCCCTAGCCAGCTTGGCTCAGTGGATAGATCGTGGGCCTGCGGACTGAAGGGCATGTACCTCACTTGCAGGTTGGATCCCCGGCCTGGTGGGAGCATGTGCAGGAGGCAACCAACTGATGTGCCTCTTTCACATCATTGTTTCTCTCTCTGTTTCTCCTCCTCCCTTCCACTCTCTCTAAAACTCAATGAAAAAATATCCTCAGGAGAGGATTAAAAACACACACACACACACACACAAACATATCCTCGGGTAAGGATTTTAAAAGTTAAAAAAAAATTTGCTGGGTCAATGTGTCTCAGTGGTTGAGCATCGATTTATGAACCAGAAGGTGGAGGTCACGGTTTGATTCCTATTCAGGGCACCTGCCCGGGTTGTAGGCTGGATCCCCAGTAGGGGGAGTGCACAGGAGGCAGCCGATCAATGATTCTCTCTCATCATTGATTTCAGAGAGGAAGGGAAAAAGAGCGTCATTGATTGGTTGCCTCCTGCACGTCCCCCACTGGGGATGGAGCCCACAACCTGGGCATGTACCTGGGCCGGGAATCAAACCGTGACCTCCTGGTTCATAGGTTGACCCTCAACCATTGAGCCACGCCAGCTGGGCAATAAAAATATCTTTTTTAATTTAGGTCACTGGTTGCATTAGCCACATTTCAAGAGCTTAACAGCCACATGGGCACAGACAGAGAGCATTTCCACCTGCCAAAGGTCCCAGCGGGCCTGCTACTTACACAGGGGGAAGCGAGGTCCAGAGGTGAGCATGGGGAGCACTGGGCCCTCGCCCACGGCCTGCTGGCTGCCCGCCTGCCCGCACCCCCCAACCCCCACCTGACACCGGTTCACGGTGTCCTAGTGAGGGGCAGCAGGGCTGGAGTGGGACCCTGGAAGGCAGAGGGCTGCTTGCGGGGCAGGGAAAGAGGGAGAGGGTGAGGCCACTCCGCTAAGGCTGAGAGGACACGCGTCTGAGACTTCGGGACAGAGTGTAATTCCGGCCAGAGGCAGCGAGAACGAGGTGTCCTGTCCATTCAAAACCTCCGACAGGATGTGCAGAGCAGGCCTGCGCGCACCTGGAGCTGGGGCCACACCTGGGCGGGTCCAGGAAGAAGGCTCCTGGTTTCCGCCAGGTGTGAGCCCAGGGGCGCATCCTCTCCCCTGTCCCCCCGGAACGGAGCCCCTTCTTCCCAAGCCAATGGGAAGACAGCCCGGGAGGGGCCCCGCAGGCGGCTGGGCAGCCAGGAACAGGGCTGGGGCCGGCATCCGCGTCCAGATGACAGGAACGGATACACACCCCGGAGGGACAGGCCCTGGGCCTCCAGGCCTCCGCACCCCAAACCTGAAGACCACATACAGACCAGGGAGGCACAGGTCTGCTCATGACCCAGCGCCGGCTGGACTAGAGGTGACGTCCGAGGGAGAGAGCACGCCCGCCCGCCATGAAGGGGACATAACAGCAAAGCAGCTCCCGCGGGGAGCCGACCACCACACACACCGGCCAGGGAGGGGCAGGGCCCGTGCCCAGAACAAAATGACTCGCAGCCAGAGGGAGAGGCGCCACCAGAGGGGAAGCCCCAACACGAATCACAGGAC